AGGGCATGCAGGCTAGGGGTGCAGCCCCCTCCCACCCTTCAGAAGAAGAGGCCCCCAGCTCTGCCATGGACCTTGAAGCAGGCCCTTCCATGTCTGGGTCTGGCCTGGGCCTGTTCCGCTCCGAGCACAGCCCAGGCACCTCATACCCGGAGTCCTGCAATGGGCCCCCAAAGGGTTGGGGGTCCAGCCTGGAAGTTGCCCCATTGATGCAGCCTTTGCCCCCCGCACGCCTGGAGCAACGATGGGCAGGGACCGGCCAGGATCTCTCTCTGCACTGGACTCAGATGCCCAACAAAGGCTCTGGAGAAAGACGGTCACCGAGAATGCTTTGCCTTGGGGGACCAGATGGGGCTGGGGGAGCCCCCAGACCCACAGGCGCGGTGGCTGCCCCCTTGGATGGGAAACAACCAACGGCCTAGACGGCTCGTGGGCGCTCGTCTGCCTGGAGGCATAGGAGGGCAGGTGCTTTTGTGTCCAGCCTCGGTGGGGAGGCAGGCTCCCAGGTACACAGAGCACACATGCACATGCACACACCCCTTCATATGTGCAAACACGTGTGCAAGCACCCCATGAATGCACATGTGCATTCGCACATACACGTGCAGGAGCCTTCATACATGCAAATGCATGTGCAAACACCCCCATGAATATACACGTGCACACACACATACGTGTGCAGGAACCTTCATACGTTCAAATATGTGTGGGCAAACACCACACAAATGTAACGTGCGCACGCACACATACATGTATAGGAATCTTCATACATGCAAACGTGTGCAAATGCCCCACGAATGCACACGTACGTGCAGGAACCTTCATATGTGCAAATACGCACATGCAAACACCCTACAAACACACATGTGCATTGCCCCCCTCATGTGCAGGAACCTTTGTATGTGCAAACACGTGTGCAAACACTCCACGAATACACACATGAGAAGGAAACCTTCCATGCCTGCCAACTCTCAGGAAGGCTGGCACGTGGGTGTGCACACACCCCTGCATGGAATTTGTACATTGAAATGCCCAAGAAAGACTTGCAGAGTGGCAGGTGTACATACACAAGCACACATGGGTATGCACACACAAACACACAGGCCGGACTACTTGCATGTATACATGGACACACATGCACTTACATGGCCGCGTGCACACACACAACACATGCACGTGAGCACACACAGACACACAAATGCACACACCCTAACGTGCTCACACAGAGGCACACACCTGCACACACACACACCGGTGCATAGATGCACACACGTACACACACATGCAGACACACAACATGCATGTGAGCACACTCATGAGTGCACACACCCATACATGTGCTCACACAGAGGCACACACTTGCACACATGGAGGCTCATACATGCACATGTGCACACGCACGCACAGAACACATGCACGTGAGCACAGACACACATGAGCGTACACACCCATACATGTGCTCACACAGAGGCACACACTTGCATGCACACACATGCACACAAAGGCACATACATGGACACGCTCACACCTGCACATGAACACATGCAGGCACACATGAGTGCACACACCCATACACGTGCTTGCACAGAGGCACACACCTGCACACATGTGAGCTCTTACCCGTGGTGCTGAGCCGTGCCAGCCAGTAGGAGGGAGGCGGGTGCTGCAGATGCTCTGTAGGGGATTGGGGTGAACACAGATGCTGCAGGGGCCGGGCTGGGCTGACCCTTCCCTCTGCCCCGTGCCAGCCCTTGCCATATCTCTACCATATGCCCCTGACCCCTTGCCAAGGCAGGCTGGCACAGGGCTAAGGCAGACCAACCCCCCAGACATCACCTGCCCACCCTCCCGATCTCCTGGGTCCCTTGGCTTGCAGATAGAGGTTCATGGTTGGGCAGGAAGCCCCCATCCTGGAGGTCACCCTCACCAACCTCAGCTTGGCGGGTCCCATACCGGTGCAGGGGCAGGGTTGCAGGGTAGAAGCCAGACCCCCCAGACAGCCGTGGAGGCATGGGGGGGGAACAGACGAGGCTGTACCTGTGCCCCGCGCCCTGCTTCGCCGGGAAGCTGGGGCCAGGGCCCCCGCGGAAACCCTGCCTCGAATCGGATTTGGGAGCAGGGGGCTGTAAATCTCCGGGGCAGCTTTACGGTCTCGGAGGAAAAAAAAAACACCCCTGTGCCGTAGTCACACCCAGGTGGGCGATAAAACCGCGGCTGGCGGCCGGGGGGGGCCCCGGAGCCCCGCGCGCCTGGCATGTAATTTAGCGCCGAGCTGCTCGGGGTTTAATTATCGCTGCGGTGGAATTTCAATGCGGCCGATTCATCTTGCGACCCGCCGGAGAGGGATTTATACGCCGCGCTATTTCATCCCCAGCCCCGATCTGCATTTTGATGGCGCTTCCGTGGCCTTCCCGGCTGCCTCACTGAGCTGGGGAGGGGGTTGGGGGGCAGGAGAGGCCGCTGTGGGCAGGTTGGACTGGCCCTGCGGCTGGGTCTGGGGTGGTGGTGGGCAGGTTGGACTGGCCCTGCGGCTGGGGCTGGGGGGGGGAGAGCAGACCCCAGTCCCTAGGGCCAAAGCAGGAGGGGGAAGGGGATGCGGGGAGGGTCATTCACATGGCTGGGAGGTGCTTGGGGGTGGGCAAGGGCAGGGCTGTACCCCGAGGGGCAAGTCAGCAGGAGACCCCCTCCTCCTGGGGGAGCTGCCCCAGCTGCATGCCCTGCATTCAGATCCTTTGCCAGGTTTTCCACCCAACCCCACAGAGCCTATAAGCCCCACCCCTACAGGAGGGGCTGGAGGGAGGGGCGTGTCTCGAGGGGCGTGTCTTGGGAGGGGGTGTGGCCAGAGTAGTTTAGAGCAGCCCCAGGGCTGCTGCAGGGCCTGGGGTGGGTGGCTGTAAAATCTGGTGCTTGATCAGCCCTCGGATCTGGAGGGCCGCCAAGCTGTTTGGGCTCGGACTGGGGGCCGTGGGGCTTGAGGGGGCCTGTGGGGCTGGCGGGGATGAGGGAGGGGAGCAGGGAATTTGGTAGCCCTCCCCTCCGCTGGCGGTGCTCAACTAAGCAGGGCCAGGCCTGTTGTGGGCCTGGATGGGAGACCGCTGGGGCGGAGAAGCTGGACTGTTGGGGGGCCAGTAGGGGATGCCATGCTCTCTCCCCACTGCGTGGGAATGGGGTGCCCCAGCAGGGGGGGCTGTTCCCAGGGGTGCCAGGCCTCAGCCCCTGCTGGACCCCCTGCTTGGGGCAGCTGGAGTGTACACCACCCCAGAGGTGGAGGGGTGGCAGCTGAGCTGGGCCCCCGTGGGTCTGGACCCCTCCCCAACTTGGGTGAGGAGGCCGCTGAGGATACGCCAGGCCCTGTGTCCTGAGGCATGTGCTTGGAGCCTGGGGCTGCCACAGATCCCACGCCTGCCACCAAGCTCCACGAGCCCTCCAGCTTTGGGGGCTACTAGGGAGGCTGGGAGCAGGGTCCCTGTCTGTCCATCCTAGGCAGAGGCAGGACTCCTGCGTTCTGTGTCTGGCAGGGGAAGGCAATGCAGTGCAATGGTTAGAGCAGGGCGCTGGGGCGCAGGGCTCGTGTGTCTCACACTCGTGGTCAGGACTCCTGGGTTCTGCTTCCATTGCTGGGGGGAGGAGAGGCCTAGTGGTGTGAGCAAGCCGGGGGCAGATTCAGGACTCCCGGGTTCTCGGCTCTGGCAGGGGCGTGGGGGGCAGTGGTTAGAGCAGTGGGGCCAGGAGCCAGGACGCCTGGGCTCTCTTCCTTGCAGGAGAGCTGGAGGTGAGGGAGGGCAGCTGGCAGATTGGGGCAACACACGGGGTCAGGAGGGCTGTGAGTTGCCCCTCACTCCCGACCCACAGTCCCCTGCCCACCCCCAGCCCCACCAGTGCCCTTCACTCCTGCTCCTGCCCCCCATTCCCACTGGTGCCCCTCACTACTGACCCCCAGCCCCCTGCCCTCCCAGCCCTGCTGGTACCCCTCGCTCCCGACCTGCAACCCCCCGTCCCCCAGCCCTGCCCCCCACAAGTGTTCGTGGGAGGCTGGGGTGTGGGGGGCAGCTTGGACCCTGGGGGAGCCCCCCTGGCACGGGGGCTCTGGTGTTGTCCAAGCTCCGGGGACCCCCGTGCCAGCTGGTCCCGTCTTCTCCTGGACTGCGGGGGCCGTTCCCAGAGGCCTCGTCAGCCCCCCTTGGCCGACGTCCTCCGAGGCCTCAGTCTGGGGGGCGTGCGGGGGAGGGTGGGGTCCAGCCGTAAATCCCGGCCAGGCCCTAATCGCTGCCATAAATAACCATCTGAAATAGCCATTAAGGGGGTCGGAGGTCGGGTTGGCATGACAACGCCTGGCTGGCCAGGGTGGGGGCTGCCAGGGGAGTGGGGCTGGGCAGGACCTGATGGATTTCCCATCTGTGTTGGGGGGGGGTTCAGGACCCCCAAACAGGGCTGGAGGGAGCCAGGAAGAAAGACAAGCCACCCCCCCCCCCCCAGCCTCCTCTG